TCTCGTACCTACTTTGGTCTAAAATATCTGGAAATTTCAAAGAAAAATGTGCATGGATGTCGTCTAAAATACCTGTTTCATCAAGGGAATTTTAGCAACTCTCGAATGTTCATACGGCGTTCTTCCTTAGCACGGCAGTATGGATACCGTAGGTAATGGTTTGTCTCTAAAAGGGTGTAACAAGTCAATTTTACAGTTAAGCCACACAACGCTAGTACTCTTAAGTAGCCTGGATTTCATCTAGTAAATGGGCTTTGATGTCTTTTAAACGCAATTTTTTGCTAAGGGAGAAAGAATAAAGGAGCGGACAAAGAAATGTTGTCCGAAGGGGTGCCATGCTAGGCAGTGGCGTGGCGTGAATGATCGATTATCGATATTCTTCCATTTAAAGCTATGGTAAAGAATCGATCATTAGGGTGTTCGTTGCGAATACCCTGTTTGTCGATCCGTTTCCATAGGTTTAAATGGCAGATTATTCGATTTGTCGCAAAGCACACGGAGAAAAAAGAATTGCTGATTCAGCAATTTAATTGCTAAAAACAGTGAGTGCAATGTTTCAACGCAGATTTTACAACAAAAAAATGCTACTTTAACCAAATTGTAAACTAATTTAACCACGGGGGTGGTTAAAGTAACATTTTTTTGTTGTAAAATCTGCGTTGAAACATTGCACTCACTGTTTTTAGCAATGGAATGGGCCTGTTGCAAACTTTTGCTAGAGCAGAATGAAGAGTTGTTTCCTATAGATAATGCCTCAAAAATCACGATGAGCGCATCGGCAAAGTCTGAAATGCACTCATAACTTCACAATCTGCGTAAGAAATTTGCGTTATTTTGAGCTTCCCGCTTCAAAAACGATACTACTGCACAGGTGAACATTTTGTTAGAGGAGTCGCTCCATCGTCGGCAATATTCATCATGGCCGACGCTTGCGCAGTTCCTCGCGTAATTCGAGGAAAGTTCAAGGTCAATTAAGGCGGGCGAGGAAAATATGAACGTAAACACGCCAATTGTTATATGGTTTAATCCTGTTCAAGTGTTATCTCGTCCCATCACACGTGTTTTGGCGGACTGGCGTCGGCCATGATGAGTATTGTTGCCAATGGAACGACTCCTCTAACAAAATGTTCACCTGTACCGTAGTATCGTTTTCGAAGCGGGAAGCTCAAAAAACCGCAAATTTCTTACGCAGTTTGTGAAGTTATGAGTGCATTTCAGACTTTGCCGATGCGCTCATCGTGATTTTTGAGGCATTATCTGTAGGAAACAACTCTTAGTTTTGCTCTAGCAAAAGTTTGCAACAGGCCCATTGCTCAGTCAGCAATTCTTTTTTTTTCCGTGCACGCCACGCCACTGATGCTATAGGGAAAAACGTCGTATGGGCATTGCAAAATTTCCTGGTTTCTCTTGATGAAATTTGTAGCTTGCGGTTTTGTTTCTCTTTGAATTCTGCGAGGATTTAACTAAACTACAATCTGCAAATAGGACCTATAATCTCTGGCTCATCCGTAAAAACGTGTATGTTCATTGGGACACTATTGGTGCATTCTTTGTTTTTGGATTGATAATGAGCAAAAAATTGTAGTTCCGAGTAATTCGGAACTAACATATTGCAACTAGTTGTAGTCCAACTGGTAATTTAAACCTAGTTTAATGGAATTGGGTCCCAGGACTCTGAACAGGCATACAGTCAGATGAGATCCAATAAGAAATTGGAGGGTTATAGGACATTACGTCAACGATTTTTTGTCCGCGCGCCTGTTTTTTCCAGTAATTTACGTCCACGCGTTATTTCGGCACGGGAGTTTTGGTCCATGTGTCAGTTGGGACCCAAAGTTAATTGGCCCACAAGTAAATACAAATGACAATTGCTCACGACGTTTTTGGATGAAAATATATAATGTCTTGGAAAAATGAGGGTTTGCTTGTTTTTTTGTTTCGTCTGTTTGCTCCAACGGAGAATAATAGTTGAGAGTTTTGGTAAAAATGGGGGAGCGTCAATTCCATGAGACAAAATTTACTAAAACTCTCTACACCTCTTTGGTGTAACAGGACTTAATTATCTTTTCAGAAATTCTCACCTTGTTATACCTGAACCGGATAAACCTCTTTATTTGCCTTAGCTAAAGGCTCTTCGATTTTTCCTGTGTACGATAAGTATCTTGATTTATTTTCCGAGGAAAGATCTGTACTTTTAAAGGATGTCTGTCATTTTTAATACGTTCAATTTTGTATAATACTGTGCAACACATCTGTTGTGAAATAGTTGCTTCAGGCGCCGTCGCACGGCGAGCGGGCGGCCAGCGCGGAATGCGCATTGGCGCCTACAAACCTAAGTGGATACTTCAAGCATTGTGTAATATGTGAAGTATCCACTTAGGTTTGTAGGCGCCAGTGAGCCTCTCGCGCTGGCAGCACGCCGCTCCGCTCTGTTAGGCTTTAATATTTATACTCGCATAGTCAGCGTTTTTTAACTCATGATTTTGAAATGTTAGCACACTCTGCATTGATTATTCTCATTTAAATTGATGGGAAAAAAATATGTATCAATTTATCAAAGGAGAATAATAATATAATGTGTGTTTTTTAAATATTGGTGGTTTCGTGTCAAATTTAAGGATTTCTAGAGCACTTTAATTTTTTCTTTTGCATTTTGTGCTTTTATTGTGCTGCAGCGAGGTGCACGCGCAACGAAACGCTTTAAATTTGATGTATTTGACTCTAAAAGATCGATGTACAAATGAGTTAAAACAAAAGATTGCGTGCTTCTTGGTTTGTCCTCTTTTATTCATTTTTGCAGTTTCTGTCAGCCTAACTGTGGCTTATTGAGATCAATGTCGCTTGGAAAAGATTTTACAAATATTTGTCACGTTTTAAAAATATAGATGTGCTCAAAATAAAGTAATAATTTCGTAAAGAAAAAATAAAAAAAATAAAAAAAGTACCTATACATATGTAAGGTATATTGTACATTCAATATTTTAAGGATCGAAATAGAACAAAATATTCACCGATGACAATTTAAAAAGATGATTCAAAAGGAGAAAGTAATAACATTTCATTTAGAAAATGAGCAACCATAACAACACCTCCTTCTCTTTAAATTTTTAATTTCCATACTGTCAATATAATTTTACATACCGACTAAAATATAACGCTTGGACCAAGTCACTGTTGCTAATTTTACGTGTGAGCGTAAGCTACTGGACAAAAAAGGTGCGCGGACAAAAAATCGTTGACAAAATATCCTGAAACCAATTGGAGATTAAGCAGGAGGGGGAGAAGTAGGGGGACTGAAAGACGACGTAGGAGGGTGAAAAGATAGTAGAGGAGGAAAGGGAAGAAGGGGGAGAAGAAGGAGAGGTCGGAGGAGAAGGAAAAGAAGGAGGAGAAGGAAAAGAAGGAGGAGAAGGAAAAGAAAGAGAAGGAGGAGAAGAAGGAGAATGAGGAGACAGAGGAGAAGAAGGAGAAGAAGGAGAGGGAGGAGAAGGAGGAGAAGAAGATGAAGGAGAAGAAGAAGAAGGGAGAGTGAAGAAGGAGAAGGGAGAAGGGAAAGGAAAAGAAGGAGGAGGAGGAGAAAGAAGAAGGAGGAGAAGAAGGAGAAAAGGAAGAAGTATAAGAGGTGGGAGATAAAGAGACGAAAGTAGAGGATGAATAGAGAAAGGAGAGAAGATGAAGTAGAGAGAGAGCAGAAAAAAGAAAGTAGGAAAAGATTGGTTTTTTTTCGAGCGGATAGTTTGAATTAGCTGCAAGTACAGTTTGCAAATACAGTTCTCGTTTATGAATTGAATTTGCAAATTTTTTTATGAGTCCACGGACTTCTGTGCCGCTTAATCACGTCTGCTCTCTAGTGGTCCATTGCATATCATCTGAACAAATCCTATTCTTGTAGAGTGTTTATGAATATACAAACAGCACCTGGTTTAAGTATGATTAAATGGTATACATCGATAGACCATCAGATAAGATTAAAATGAAAGCACTGGGCTGGGACTCATCCTCTCCTAGACGAGTTTGCGCAAAACTGTTAAGGTGACCAAAAGCGCAAAATATTATTACATTCTTGCTGTCTGGAAGGTGATAGCTTGAGCGAACCAATTTCGAAATATTTCTTTGCCACATTGTCCCGCATAAAAAAGAAAGAGGCAGTGAGGGAGGAGACAACAATGATTGATGCCTCAAACTTGGAAAAAAGTGTTTGCTTTGTGATGTTCCATACTCTGAAGTTTTATCATTTAAGAGAAATGTTTCGCACTTTAGAGTTACCGACACTTGTTCTGAAATATAAGTGCGGAAAATTTAAAACATAATAAACCTAAACCCTGGTGCGTCAGACTTGGATCTTACGGAAACGAGAAAGAAGAAACTGAAAAGGGAAAAAGAGGAGGAAGAATAAAAATAGAGAGAAAAATTTATTTTTTATTCCTCCTCCTTCTTTTCTTTATTTTTATTCTTCCTCTGTTACTTCATCCTTGTCTTCAGTCCTGGCAATATGCATCTGTGGATTTTGTTAATGCTTTTCACACTAGAAGTTGTAATTAAGGTATCGCATTTTGCGTGTTCATTAATGAATTAAATTGAAAAAGAAAGTCTTGCCTTTACACGCTATGTTGTTTATTACAAGCTGTTGCAGTGGATGTGAATTTCGGACATCAAGTCCATCCTCAGCACTTAATCACAAAACAACACAGTAAAACACCGGTAGTAGATGACATTGTAATTGTAATGCATTGTGATATTTCATCTATTACCGGTGTTTTACTGTGTAATTTTGTGATTAAGTGTTGAGGATGGACTTGATGTCCGAAATGTACATCCGCTACAACAACGTATAAACAACAAAGCGCGTAAAGACAAGACTTTTTTTTTTCAATTTTGTAAAAGTTGTAGCTTGGGCAAGCTCCAGCATATTAATTGATGTATGATATCGCCTTTATATTTGCATAAATTGATACCATGGTGCATATAGCGGTGGTTTTGTGGTGAGGTTAAGAGCTTACCGTTGTTTTTTCGAGGCATCTGAGCAGATGGTGGTGTTGAAGCTCGAAAATGTCCTCCTCGCGATGGCCTTCGTCCATCTCTAGACCGGCCTCTTGGGCCGCTAGTCGCGCTTCAGCCGCCTTCTTCTTGCTCACGAAGGCGGCGCCCGAAGACGCCTTTGCCAGTCTTATCCTCGCCAAACGGGCTTTCTGCACACAGAAAACACACGAAACGTGTCAGGTAACACATCAAATGCGGAGAAAACACATGATAATATGAGCAGGATAAAAAATAAAAGATGTAAAGTAATCTGATGGGTCTGTTACAAACAAGAGATACACCACACAGTGGATCGAGTCAATGGGACCAGTGGTGAGGCGTGAATAATCGATTATCGATATTTACTCATTTGAAACTATGCGGTAAAGAATCGATAATTGTCACATACATCATTCGTTGCTTGAAGCGCCGTGATACGCCGGCGGCGGGCGAGTACGTCCAGCGCGACACGCGCAGTGGCGCCTACAAACCTAACAGGGATACTTCACGCATTGCGCACTGCGTGAAGTATCCCTGTTAGGTTTGTAGGCGCCATTGCGCGACACGCGCTGGCAGCACAACGCTCCGACCCGTGTACGGATCTAATATTTAAACTCGCAGAGTCAGCGTTTTTCAACTCATGATTTTACAATGTTTGCACACTCTGCATGAATTATCCTCATCTGAATCGATGGGGGGAAAATATGTATTAAAGGAAAAATACTGTGTGTTTTGTAAATATTCAGATGATTCCTTGTCAAATTTAATGATTTCCAAAGCACTTTAAATTATTATTTTATATTTTGAGCTTTTATTGTGCTGCAGCGTGGTGTGCGCGCAACCAAAAGCTCAAAATAGGACATATTTGACTCTAATAGATCTATGTAAAAACGGGTTAAAACCAAAGATTGCGTGCTTCTTTTTTTTCTATGATTCATTTTTGTATATATGTAGTTCCTTTCAACACAACTACGGCGCATTGAGATTAATATCGATGCTGTCGCTTCGAAAATTTTAAGGATAAAAATAAAACCAAATATTCACCAATGACAATTTGAAATGATGAATCAAAAGGAGAAAGTAACATTTCATTTACAACATGAGTTATCATAACAACACCTCCTTCCCTCTCAATTTACTCAGTTCAATATTGTCACTATAATTTTACACTTGGACTATAAAACATGACGCTTGGACCAAGTCAATGATGCCAATTTTACACAAGGACTTAAACTACTGGGCAAAACAGGTGCGCAGACAAAAAACCGTTGACAAAATGTCCTGAAACCAAAAATTCTGGCTCTTCTGGAAAACACTTTTTTTGCATAGGGAAACTAATGGCACATACGTTGTTTTTAAACCGGGCTAGAATTTATGGTTCCAAATTGCAAAATTGCAAAAAAAAAAAGGGTGGCATGAAACGTAAGAAAGAAATAAAATATTTGAAATTTCAGTGAAATATTTCATGAAATTTCACGAGGCTGTGAAATATTTCATAATTTTCAGGGGCTAGAGTATGCAACCCGCATTCAAACACACGAAAATAGAAAAAAGTCACAATTTCTACCTATTGCGAAACATGAAAAGGAATCTGTATTTTTCAATATCTTTCATAAACTGAAATTTCATGAAATATTTCGCGTGAAATTTCAAGATTTTATTTTTCATGAAATTTTGCCACCCTGTGTAGTCCATATATGATCACTCCATTTTCTCTTTAACTTCTTTGACCATAACTTCGGTTATTAATTTCAATAATCAGCCCACTGTTTGTAAAATTAATTTTTGAAGGGACCGTCCCCCAAAAGGTGACACGTTCTCTTTGCCTTCTTGTCCACCAGCAGCCTCCAACCCCCTATTTTACCAAAAGAACTTGCTTCCCTCCCGCCAGACCCGGTTTTATTCTTATTCTTCCTCAAATAAAAGCAAAAGTAATCACGCGACGACGTCAAAGAGAAGCGGTCGACCGCAACTAGTCGCGTGCATCATCCTATCCAGCTCGCCGCACAGTGGGTCGTGTCAATCAGAAAGGTTGGACATAAATTTTTGACTAAAACTGCAAATTTTGAGGTTAATGTCCTCTCATTTTATATTTTAAGGGGTACTTCTAGCAGAAGATCTCATAAGGAAACCATTGGAGTCACTTTTAGAACCTCCAATTTTTGTGCAATGGAGATTTCGCGTGCGAATTTTTTATCGCTTCATCTGTAATTGCTTTCTTGAGCTGATTTCACAGTATTTTTCATAATTTCTTTCTGATTTGGGAAATAGTTTTGAAATAGATTTAAAAGTGAGAAAATGCACCGCCTAGAGACGTCATCTGGCGGCATTTCCCATTTAAACACATGTATTTTAGCAGATTTGATCATTTTGTCATATCTTCTCCAATAATCGTTCAATTCATGAACCAAGGGTATCCTCGCGGTCACTTCAGTCAGTGGTTGCCACGTTGGCACGAAATCATCAAATTTCAGACACCCGCAAATTCTCTATTCACTGGAAAAAAACATATTAGATCTAGAGTCCAGACTCTTGAAAACATTAACAAGAAAAAATACCCTTGATTCAATCGGATTTTCGCTTGAATCAAAACGAAATCCGCTTAAATTAAGAGGCTTGGCATAAGGGTTCTTGATTTAAGCTAGATTCTAATCGAATCAAGAGTACTTTTTCTTGTCGATGTTTTTAAGAGCCTGGGCTCTAGATCCAATGTATTTTTTTTTTCCAGTGTTGGAGTTATAAGCGTTTAAAGTTACCAAATGTCCTACTTCTCCTATCGACTCGATCCACCGTGCGCCGCGCCATTCACGTTGCCGACCGAAAAGAACCCGAGACGTCCAGCCGAATTGATTTATTCACCGGTGAGACGTCCCGGAGCCCCCGAACGATCGAGGGAGGGGGAGGGGAAGGTCAACGGATCCCGACGAATGCCTTGGCGGAATAGGTGGCACTGGGTCAAAATCAAGAGGAGCGTTCAAGGGAATCGTCATTACTCCCGTTCGAGGGGGAGGGGGGGGCGGAGGACAAGGGAATGGAGGAGGGGGGGCTGGATGTAAACAATCGGTCGTAGACGGCGAGTGAGTCGTCGGTCTCCGATTCCGACCGTCACAATCGTCGATCGGAGACCGCAATGCCAGGAACACGAGTCTGTTTTATTTTTCGCTCGGATCGGAGCACGCAAATAGATCGGGATGATAGACCGCGGGTGCCGCAAGCGTTTGGGAGAGCTCTCTGACGACTTGACGAGACGGACCGCATTCGGCAGGAATTGAGAGTGATTACAGATGCACGTGTATTTTATTGGGTTACGGTAAAGGCAAAACTCTTCTGTCGTGGTAGCTAAACGAGCAGTAAGAGTCGAATTTTCGAAATCTAGTTGCCCTCAAAATTCGTCTGATCTCTTTTAGATGAAATCATTGAAATGGCGAACAGCGAAATTCATCTCAATTGTATCAAACGAGACATAAAGCCGTAAGTGCGCACAAAATGACGTGGTTCCAGACAGGACAGCAGTAAGTGACAATATTCCTACAGAAAGCCGTATTTATTAAAATGCCGTATATTTTGCACCACTTAAACTTACTCCTCTGCCGTGATAGCGAAGAGACTAGGAGGTGTCAAATTTTCGAAATCGAATTTCCTTCAAAATTCATCGAATCTCTTTTCGACAAAATAACTGAAATTGCTAAAACAGCAAAATTCATCTTAATTTTATAAAAACGAGACAAATGGGAATGCTGCAAGTGCGCAAAAAATGAGGTAGTTTCAGGCAAGACAGCAGTAAGTGACATTATTCCTCCAGAGAGCCAATGAAATTAGTGGTTTCAAGCAAAGTGCCACCCTCCTGCCAATTTCTAACCTGAAAATGTGTTTGTTGTGTGTTCAACAAGCAATCACGAAAGCATGCAGAAGACAGCATTTACGGATTACGGCTGTCTTGCCTAACACTAGCCTAACGTGAGAATGAATAATAGCCTTTATATGTGATTGAAATGAAACTGATTTCTCTCAGGAGCCCATTTTGTCCTTAGAAAACTTGAGAGGTATTAATGGGAGGTAAAATTCGCTTCTTAAGAAGGTAGTCAAAGAGCATGCAGAATATCTGCCGTGATAGCGAGGAGAGCAGTAAGGGTCAAATTTTCGAAATCGTCAAAATTTGTCCGATCTCTTTTTTATGGAATCGCTGAAATAACTAAAAAAGAAAAATTCATACATCAAATTGAACATGTTAAAAAAAGGCAAAATCTCAAATGGCTCAGCTAATTCTTGTTTAATGACGTCTAACTGACTGTTACATGTGATTAGTTGAGTGAGTTTAGAACTTGTGAAGAAAGAGGAAATTAGCCGAACCCAGCTGCGCGACTAGCTCGTATCAGCGCCTACAAGACTGCAGGGATACCTCACGCATTGCGCATGAAACTTCACTGATACTTCACGCATTACGAATACACCGTCGTATGAACGCGCGATGCTTGAAGTATCCTCGCAGTCTTGTAGGCGCCAATACGTGTTTTCGCGCTGTCTGCACGTGGCCCGCCACGCGCTGCTCTGTGTTTGGCTCTAATATTCAAACTCTCGGGGTTAGCTTTTTCTACTCATGATTTTTACTGCTTGCAAATTTTGTATGGCTTATTGTCATTGTCATTCAAAATGAAAAATACCCTTTTTATGTGATTGGAATAAAACCAGTCGATTTTTAATCATCCAAACTACTTTTAGGAGGCTTTCGGATGATCAGCGGCAATTTGACAAAGAACGGAGGCTTCTTTCACTAAAATTTTCCGGTCAGAAGCTTCTGAGTCCGTTTTCTCAAAACCTCGTTTTTACACTTACTGCTCTCCTCGCTAACACAGCAGTATAGATGTGCGCGCATTTTATTGGGTTCTTCTACGGTAAAGGTAAGAGTCTGGGTGATGCGCCGTGAACGGCTACACCATCAAGCAGAGGTCATTCCAGTGGCGATTTTGCAAGTTGGCAACACTCTTTTTCCACGATGTAAAATGTTGCAATTTCATCATGTGACATGGAAAAACCTGAGGCATATTTTAAAAATATCAAGGATCTCTAGAATCGGCTATGACAAGAGATGAAGCTCATGGAGTCAGATAGCTTATAAGCATTATGTTATACTCTTTAAACTAAGTATCTTAGTAGCCTAAGTACATTATTG